AACCGGCGACTACTGTAGTACGAACTTGAAATTTGCTAGCAAGCGAGGCGGTACCCAACGACACCATCTCTGCCTTAAAAAGAATTGATTAGATTATTCTTGACAAACTTCGACTATAAAACATGATTTTATAGTGACAACCTCGTAAAAATCCTCCTGGTTCTAGTTTTTTATAGGCGGTGTTTGACCATATCGATTGTTTGTGCGGGCAACTTAAAGGTCATTCGCTGCCGTCTACGCGTCAGCCGTCAGCAGCGCAATGGATCCGTCGAATTCTCCTTCAAAAACTGATATCGATGCAATATTTTCACGACTTCTTTCAAGACCCTCCAACAGAGTAAGCGCTTGTCCTTTTCTGATTCCTTAGGTGTGTTTTGACTGTGGAGCCGGTAATCCGACATGGGCCAGTGTCACATACGGCGTCTTTTTGTGCATTGACTGCTCGGCTGTGCACCGATCTCTTGGTGTGCACATTAGTTTTATAAAGTCGACGCAATTGGACACTAATTGGTCCTGGTTGCAGTTGCGGACAATGCAAGTTGGAGGGAATTCCAACGCCGTACGTTTGATGCTTTAATTATTGTCTCTTAGCTTGCTGCTATCCAAACTGGTTCTGCATCAAACGATGTAAAGCAAAAGTATAGTAGCAGAGCTGCTCAATCTTATAGAAACAAACTTGAAAGTCTTGCAATGAAAGCTATGCAATCGATGGGTTCAAATGTAAATTGTACATTCCATAACTTAGGTTTGAAATAGCTTTTCTTAGATGCAGAGGATACGCTCGTGAATGTCCCCAAAGATACTGATTTCTTTGAAGAGCACACAAAGAACTCACTAGTTGAGGATATAGGTGGCATGACACTTAGCGGTACTGTTGTGACCAGCACTGCTTCTGTCCCTCCCCACGGTAGGTTATTCCTGTCTATATCTTGACCGCACCTACAATTGTCCCACTAGTAACTCAAAATAATTACTGATGCCAATTTATATCCTTTATGCATTTTTATATCGCGGTGCAGGCTTGTCTATTGCCTGACAGTGTTTTCGTTGCCGTAATTTAAAAAATTCTATTAATCGATGATTTGCGAATTCGGCGTGAAGACAAATTTTGCTCTTCCACGTTTCTTTAGACTATTTCGCATGAACCTTCTCAATAGTTTTTAGCTGAATAGAGACGACTGGGTATTAATGCATGGTCTTAATTCAATTCAAATTTTAGTTCGGACTTAGGAAACGTCGAATAAAATACTGTTTGATTTGTTTGGTCCTCTTAATGAGACGTTCGAATTCTTGATTAGTTGGTTATGGCTGCGACCATGACTGATCTAGCTAGCCTCAATTGTATCCCGCACGGTACTTCTCCATGCGTGACGATCCGTGGCAAAAAAACCTAGACAGTTCGAGCCATTCTCTTCGCCAGCGCTGGAGACCGTATACCGAAGGTCTAAGAAACACTTCCATATCCTAACAGACTGAGTCGGGCCGGGTTATGAGACGACTCCCTTTTTCGACGCTTTCAATTTTTCAACGGTTTCGGTCGACGGCAATAACGCTAAGCTTGTGAGGTTTACGGCGAATATCGTGTCCAAACCACCTCAGTCGTCTTTCTTGGATAGCCTCCGATAACCTTGTGATGTCGCAGTGAGTGCGGACTGTCTAATTTGAGAAGAAGTCGACGTGCTTCACTCGTAGTATGGTCCTAAAACGGTAGTGTCAAATTCTTCCAGTTTCCGTTCATCTTCCACGCGCATCGCCCAACCGTAGACGCATGGGCCGGAAACGGACGACAGATCCTGCTTGACCGTTGCT